TCTTTTCCAACCTAAACGATTCTATGATTCTACGATTCTATTCCCCTGCCCAAGCTCCCCTCCCAGCCAGAGGAAGCAGCCAGGAACGGAGCCGGGGGTTTAAGCTCTCCATCACAAGCGCTGATCTTTCTTTCCCAGCATGGTGTGCGCGGAGACGAACCGAGGGCTGGCATTCACACCCCCAAAAATGTCAGGCCAGACCGGGAGCTGGGAGAGCCGCTGGGAACCCTCGCAGCACGAGGGATAGCAAAAGCAGGCCGCAATTAATTAAGACCAGGATTCATGCTGTTAACCGTTTACTGCCCTGCAGAAGGGAGTCGTTTCCATCCCTGCCTTCACGCTGAGCATCCTGCGGGCAGGAGGATGCTCTGTGGACCTTTGCGGTGCAGTCAGGGTCACGGGTACCCACCCCTAAAACCTACCGCTGCCTGCCCTTCGTCAAGCGATGCTGTTCACCACCCTGGCTGCTGCAGCTGGAGGGTAGAGGTCTCGTTCCTGGCCCTTCTTCCCCTTCGCCCCCTCATCTCACCTCCAGCCCCGCTTCGCCCAGCTGATCTCTAACCCGCAGCAGAAGAGAAATGAAAGCCCCAGACATCCCGCTCTGAGTTTCCATGGGAACAAAAGTGCCACTGGGTCCTCCCAGCCCTGCAGATGCTGCTTTCAGGAGCAGAGCATCCTGGCAATGCCGAGGATGGGCGAAAACCATCCCCACCCTTCCACAGATCAGCCTAAAAAGCTTCCCAAATTTCACCTGCTGTCTGCTGCGGGCAGGGGCCATAACAGTGTCGGCATCATGCCCAGCAGATGTACCATCACCCAGGTCCACAGGGGATCTGCTTTGACACTGCCCTGCTTTTCCCTTGCAGAGCACAGACACGCCACAGCCAGGCGGGAAGTTTGCATCGCGTGGCCAGACTCTAAGGAAATACAAAGGAAGCGGCAGCCTGGGGATCAGACGAGCGGCAAGGTGAAGCACAGGCTGAGGAAGGGGGGAGGCATTTCGCAAAGAAAAGCTGGGCTCCCGTGCGGAGGCAATGCCATGGGATATCAGGACGGCACTCTGCTGCCTGCTTGGCTCGTTTCCTACGTGTTTGTGACGTGCTGCAGCACAAAGCACGGCCACATATATATGTATATGTATGTATATCGGTACTTTCTTTTCTATATATACATTAAAAAAAAATTGTAAACTTCAAGCTGGCTTGCACCGTCGGGCAAAGCCTCTCCGGGGATAACGTACCTGGAAATCCACCTGCCAGGGATCGGGGCTGACCTGCTGCAGGTCCTGCAGGTGGGTTTTCCGAAGGGGATTTTTCACCAGAGCGGTGCCGGGATCACTGGCCGTGGGCACCTTCTTGCAAGGCTGGTGGTCGGCGATTTGGGTGGTGCTGTAAGCCCGTCTCCTGGAGGAAGCCTTCACGTCCGTTCCTGCATGGCGGGAGAGAGGATCAGCTCTGCTCCCGAGCGGGACCAGCCAGCGCCATCCACCCTTGGCCCAGGGTGGGCAGCGGGGAGCCCAGCCCTGCGGTCCTCCCGAGGGGCCCACGCTCAGCCCTGCCCTGCTTGAAGCGAAGCAACAAAACCACGAAAGGAAATAAGAGCCTACACTCAAAACTCCTGGGGATGTCAGGAGAGCAGGTTGGGGAGGTTTTGTCTGAGCAGTTTTCAGCCAGAAAAAGCCTGACTGCATTTCCCCAAAACTCCCTGGAGAAGACAAAGCGTTTACTAATGAAATTTCATTAGCGCAGACATTCTCCTGTCAGAGCAAGAGTAAAATTTCATTTGGAAAGACATGATTTCTCATCGCTTTTGACAAGGTTGAAGGGATGCGCAGCACAGTTCCTCTCTAAATATAAGGGAAGAGCATCCCGTGAGTAACAGAGGTTTCCTCGTTGCACGGCAATGCAGCCAGCTCCGGGGTGCAACCAGCCGCTCTACGCCACGCGTTGCTGACACAAGCACCCAGCCCAACTGTGATGGTGAGGGGTGACACGGCTTTGGATCCATCGCTCCCCCTCTCCTGACCTCAAACTGCGACGCCAGGGCTTGCAGGGAAGCGACTGCTTTGCAGGGACAGTCTAGCTGGGCTACCCATTTGCTCACTTCTCCACATACTGGAGGGCAGCTTGGGAAGCTTGTAAATAATTATGTGGCCAAAGCTAGAGCTGCTTTGAAAAATCTCCGAGGAAGCCAGCTCTCTGGAGCTTCCCTTGATTTCCTGACAGGTCTGGGTAAAACATCCAAACCAAATAGACTCGCTCACGCCTCGGGAGATCTGTCATCCCTCCTGCAAACCCCTCCGGCTCTCTGCAGAGATACAGCTGAAGAGACTTATTTGTCAGAAAAGTAAATTGGCAGAGCAGTGACAGAAGCTTGATTAGAAAGACAGGGGCATCACACCCACGCTTGTACAGAGGAAAATCTGACCGGTGTCGGTGTCCGATTCTCCCTCGGGATCTCTGCCCACCGCCAGGTATTCAGGGGCACACTCTGCAGGGCAGCAGCCCTCCGAGTCTCTGGAGTGGTTCCAGCTCTCCACGCCTGCTCCCTCCTCCTGGGAGTGAAAGAAGACAGAGCTGCCCGACTCCTGGGAACGCATCATGCTGTAACGTCGCCTCTTGTCCTGGGGGAAAGCAGAGAGAGGGCATAGGTCCTAGCCCTGCGTCCGCTAGCTACCTCCCGGCCGAGAGGAGCCACTGCTTGCGCACCAGCGCCCTTATCCGCTGAGCTCCTACTTCTCCCCACCGTCTCACGCGCCGTCTCCCTTGAGAGCGGAGCAAGAAAGCGAGAGACGCCTCCTGACCACGCACGGAGAGCCGGGACGCCCGCTTGCGCACGTGCACACCCAGACCCCCTGCTCCCGGGGCAGCCCCGCCGGCCAGCGCAGCGCAGACTCACAGATCGGGGGTTGGAGATGTACGGGGAGGTGTCGCAGAGGATGCCGTAGCCGACCAGGCGGTCACCGGGGAAGAGGCAACTGGTGCTGACGGGGGAAACCAAGACCTCGGTGCTCTCGGGAAAGACCCACTCCACGGACACGTCACTCAGGACCGGCGCCATCGCCTTCTTCAGCAACTTGATCATCTGAGGCAGAAAGCAAAGGGGAGCGGTTGGGCAGCAAGTGGATGTTGCGTGCGCCGCGGTGCACGCGCCGTGCGTTGCAGGGGAAGGGGAAAATTTCCCCGAACAAATCCATCGGCTGATCCGTACCCTCTCTTGACCCTAGATGGGAGCCTGCTGCCTCTTAGGCTGCTCTGATACCCCTCCCAGCACCCCCAGCCCCTTGGCATGGTTATACCAAGGGTAGCAGAGCAGATACCGATAAAGCACGGGGCTGATCTCTTGCCAGCGCAGAGCTTGCGGGAGGTATCTTGCTCCGATGCGAGGCAGCATCCCCTGCTCCCTGCCAGCACCCAGGAAAAGCTGGTGACCTTGACTTCTCCGAGCCCCGGCCCTGCCCCGAGCCCCGACACTCACGCACCGACTGCTATTTCTGGTACAGGTCCCTGCTGGCACAAACCACTGCCGGAGATCAGCAATGCTCTGCCACTTGCACATGTGGAGAAGACCAATATCCGTGAATATCTCATGGACAAACCTACCAGGGAGCCATCTACAAGAGCTTCCCTGCGCACCAGGGGAAGCGAACGCCAGATTTAGAGGCAGAACAGCTCAAATGTTCTCTATTGTTCACTGCTTTTTCACAGGCTCAGGAAGACACACCAGGCTGTGTTTTATAAGGCCATTAATTGATGCCTCAGACTGCTGAAGGCACCAAGCTGCACAGCCTGCAAAGCTCTTTATTAATAGCTCTATAAAAAAAACCCCTCTCCCTTCACTGTCTTTGCTTTTAATTTACATCAGAAATGCTGATGCTGGTTCTGTCTTAGAGAGGGTTTTGTGTGCTCCAGGTTCCTGCGGAGGGATGGACTGCCGAACTCCTCCTTTTGAGATCAAGAACGTAGGAGCCGGCTTTTTAGGGGTATTTAGGAGCTAAAGACCCAATTCTCTCTGGGTTCAGTCATCCAGTGGATGACGGGCTAGGCACCGTGCTTTCACCAGGGGACAGAGCCATTCTTACGTATTTGAGGAGCATCCGTTTACTCAGTCTTCGCGGGGAGAGTGGAAATGAAGAGGCTCCCTTCTCTGCTTTCAAGTTGGTTTAATAGGCAAAGCTATCGCAGCCTCTTCGTCTCCCTCAAACCCCGGGTACTTCTCGCCTGAGCAATGCCAGGGCTGAGCCTGACTTCAAAACTAATTGGCTGCTTTGATGCCGGCTCCTCTGCCCTCGCCGGTGTCTGAGGCAGCAGCTACTTTGAAGCCGAAGCCGCTGCATCGCGGCTATCGCTTCTCCCCATCCCTGCGCAGAGGGTAAACACACCCTCCCACTCCTCTGACAGCCGGAGATGAAGATGCTCTTTCATCCCCTCCCGCTCACCCACCTGCTGCCGCGTGGGAGTTGGGAAGGCAGCACCAGGATGGGGAATGAGACCCGCTCGCGAGCCGTGGCCTCCCTCTCGCTCAGCCGGAGCATCGTTAGAGCCTTACGAGGGGGTCCGCCGGCAGCGGGCAGCCGTACCTTGGGCTGCAGCCTCTCGCCCTCCGCCAGGAACTCGGCGATGCCCCTGGACACGGCAGCCAGCCCCCGAACCAGTCTCCTGCAGGCGTTTGGCCCGATGCCGAAGCTGTAGCACCTGCAAAGGGACAGGGAGCGTCAGGATCCAGGGGACGAGCCGTCCCAACCCCCGGCCCCACGCCGCTCACCCACTGCCTGCAGGCAGAAGACCCCCCCGCCCCGGCTTTATCCCACTGCTACGCAGTTATCCAGCACGTCCGGAGGAACAGAAACCAGCTCCTCTTTTAGGTGGCTGGCAGGAGGGGTCAGGAACCACCAGCCCCCTCCTCTCAGCAGACCTCAGATCCCTTCCCCGAAGAGCAGCCTTCAGCTGAGACGCTCAGGGGCTCCCCAGCAGGACCCCCAGCCCTCGCCTCCTCTGCAAACGCAAAGCTGCTTTGCTGCCAGGTCAGCTCTTTTCTCTGCTGAGCGTCCGTGGTCAATAGCACTAAAGACCCAGTAATTATCTCTGCTCACAATTAAAATAAACCTTTTCTCGAGGAAAGAGGAACCAGCCAGGCGAGGCTGCTCCCCTGACTCCCAGCTCAATGAGTCAGGATTTGGTTTTGGCTGAAGGCTGCAAACCCGGAGCGGAGCTGGAGCCTGGGCAGGGAGGGCAGGAGCGAGCGCTGGTGGGGATGGATGCGCTAGGAAGCCGGGAGGGATGAGCACGGGTGGGATACGGCGTTCGGCCAGGGCAGCGGATGGCTGAGGAAGAAACCGCCTTCAGCAGCAAACTGCATCTGCACGAGGGGCTTTGCCCTTAGAGGTTTTTAATCCCCAGCTGGCTGCAAATCTTAGCTCAGCCTCACACCCTCTTAAATAAGGCTCTGATCTTCTTTTGAGACAGGGGCCACACGCACGACGCGGCGGCGCGCTGGGCGCTGCCTTCCAGGGTCACCGGGGCCCACACGCTAACCCTGGCTGTGTTTTGGTTGCGTTTAGCCCACCGCCGTGCCTTGTAAGAGCGAGGGACGGGTTACCCTATACAGCTGGGAAGCAGTTCGACCTCCATATCGCAAAAAAAGGACAGAGCAGCTTCCCTGATAAGCCCTGAAATCTGAGGGGTGGAAGAGGAATAAGGTTTTCTTACATTTTCCTTATGTTTCATGCCCCTTAAAGAAGCAGAGGAGAAACCAGACCAGCCTGTCATCAGGGCTGGGGAACCAGGCTGGGGAGCTGGATGCACAAATTAGCTGCTTTTTACATTGCTCTCTTTCAGCATATTCAATTCTGCGCAGCCCCATCCTGGAAGCAGCTGGGGCCAGACCCAGATGTGCTTTAAAAAAAATAAAAAAAAACCCCAGCAAGGAAGATTGTTCGCGTGTCAATCTCTCCTAGCAGGAAGCATCAGACAAGAGCCTGTGAAGTTGGCAGCCCAATTATCCCGCTTTTGATTGTTTAAAAAGCATCTGAACTTCTGGGATCTGTTCCAAACCCTTTGAGGTTCTCCCGTGGCTCATACCAGCGACGTCTCCTTGCCTCTATCTCTCAAGCGGGGACGTCTGTGCGATGGAGCCACGTTCAAGGAGAAGCACGTCCCCCACCGGGCCAGGCTTTTGCCCCCGCAGCGGCGAGCCCTGCTGCCCTCCGTACCTGGTGGAGCAAAACTCCAGCACCTTCCCCGTGTTGCCGACGGCCCCGTCCGTCAGCAGAAAGAGCAGTCGGGGATGGCCGGTGTGGATGGGCTGCCGAATGACCCACTTCAAAGGCGATAAGATGTTGGTGCCACCCATATCGGCCCGGATCCTCTTGATGCTCTCGCAGGCGATGGCCAGGCTCTCCTGCCCAAAGGAGCAGCGGAATCGTCAGCCCCTGCCCCAGCGCCCTCCGAGCACCGAGGAAACGTGGCTCCCCCTTCACCCACCTCGCAGTAGGTCTGACTGGCAGGAAAGAGGGTCTTGAAGGTGGATCCAAACCCAATGACGTTGAAGAGGCACGCTGGCATCAGGCTCTTGAGAATGACCAACAGGGCATCCTGGGGGTGGAAGCAAGCAGCCATCGGGCACGCCGGCTCTCTCCCCGGCTGCCCCAGCTTCACCAGTAAAAGCTCTGCCCAGGTACTACCTCGCCATCACACCTTACTCCCGGCTGCATTTGTCTGCACGCGCTCGATAATAAAACGACTGGTTCTTTCACACGCACTGCATGTGAAACCACTGCATATTACTCTGCTCTGTCCAAAGTCCCTTAATGAAATTTGGGTCCCAAAGCTGTGAGGAAAACGGGGAGCCTTCAGAAAAAAAAAAAAAAAAGAGCTGAACAAATTTTTCTGTTTGTTTTTAACTGATTAAATTTGTGCTTGCAATACGGTACTGCGGCACGGAGCTAGTGGGTGAGAAGCAGAGTGTGAAATTGAGAAGTGCGACACGCAACGCATTTCAATGTCCAAACTTGCAGAAAATAAACAAACAGCTTAAAGTTACACAAAAGGAAAAGCCTCCCCCATCCCCAATTCTCTTGTATTCATAGCTGGCGTCCATTAAAATAACCGGGAGAGACAGTTTTAAGCTATTTTCTTTACCAGAGGTGGTTATCTAACTTGCCTATTCCTAGTCTTTACATAAGGGAAGCGCAATCCAAATTGCTTCAGACACGTGATGGCCACGGACAGCTCCAGGACGGAGCTCGCGTTAGCAGCGACGGGGCAGGAGCTGCCCGAGGAGCTCCTGAGCTCGCAGGGGCAGCAGGAGCAATCAGCGTGGCAGGAGCGGGAGGCCAATTTAAAGCCAAGTGCTGGCAGCGTTCAGGAGCGGCTTGGCTCTTTCTGTTCACACGCTGAGAAAGGCAGACCCCTGCCAGTCTGCCTAGGGCAGCAGAAACCCTAGAGCCAGCCCCAAGAGAAGAGCTGCCAAGGTCGAACGAGCGAGAGCAGCCTCCTCGCTTTGTCACAGGCGGTGGCAAGGACCGAGGAAGCGCAGAGGGTGGGTGCTGGAGCTGCACGCAGAGACCCCCCAACTGGGAAGAGCCGCAGGGAGACGGGTGGCAGGTCAGCCCGGCGCCCGACCCCTGCAAGACTCAGCAGCAAGGCAAAGCCGGAGCACTGCGAATCAGCCAAATAACGTACGAGGACGGGGCTGCCCTTTAACAGGCTCCAGAGGACTTTAAACCAAGCTGTTCTCTCAAACCTACGGGAATATATTTATACCGCTGCCTCCCAGATGGCTCCTGGGATGCTGGCTCTTCCAAATCTTAACACTGACATCCCATCTCAGAACTAATTACAAGGAAAGAAAAAAAAAAACCCAAAAAACAGATTTCCAAATATTCTTCCTAAAGTGGGCAACCGATGCTTGCTTTCTGTTTCAGCAAGCGGAAAGATTTATTGCTTCTTGTGGTAAATATTGATCTTGATCTTCTTGCACTCAATATCTATACGGCAGATCAATAAGAAGAGATGTTTGCCTCCAGAGAAGTCAATTCCCCGTTATTAGGCTAGTTTTGCCGGTGAGCCCGCCCGGTGTGGGCACCATCACGGGCCTGGCTCTTCTCCCCGGCTGCACCAGGATGGGAAAAGAACATCAAGCGTAACCCACCCAAGCCCACCAAGAACAGCCCCTGCCACGCGGGCCCTGATATTTGCAAGTCATAAACAAGGATGGGGGACTCCAAAGAGAGACAGTGGTTTTCTCCCTTGAGGTATCTCCTCCGAAATCTCCAATATCTCCCCAGAAATATTTTTCCGGGAGGGGAACAGCCTTTTTCCTGTTTTTACAGCCCTCCTGCGGATGGAAGTCCCAGTTCAGGACCTCTCGGAGAAGGGCTCTGTCCCTGCAGGGTCCCCATCCCCATGGGACAAACCAGCCTCCACGGAAGCTGCAGGGACCGTGGTGCCCAAACCCAGCCACGCTGCAAAAAAAAATCTGCCTGGAGCAGAGATGCATCCCGATTCCCAGGTTCCGAAACGTGCTGAGGGAAGGGGGTACTGCCTCAGAGATATCCTGGCCCCTTTGGTGGATGCAGGGACAGGGGATGGCCTCCCTATCCCACAGGACCTGTTGCAGCCGTCCTCGGGCTCCCCGGCATCCTGATCCTTGTTGCCAGAGGTGGCCATCCTCCGGCAGTTCCCATGGAAACTGGAGGCAGACGGGTAAGGAGACGGGCTGGAAGATGCTCCCTGCTGCTCGCCCTGGGCGGCGAGTCCTGCAGAAAGGGGTGCAGCCGTACCCAGGGGAGCGTTTGGGTCCAAATCCGGGTGGCACTCGTGTTAGGAAAGGGTGCGAGCAGGACACCTGGGACACACCAGCTCGGTGAGTCTCTCGGACATCCGGATGCAACCGAACCCCTCAGACGAAGCCTGCCTCTGCAATTCCCTCGCTGCCCTCAACCAAGATGCACGGGGCAGCGCAGACCCATGCCCCGCTCAGGAGGATGCGATATTCATCAAGCTATCGGGGCTTACCCGGCCCCGAAAATCAAGACAGAAACTTTCCAAAAGAGTTTTTGCCAGAGACTGCAGCTTCTCACCGAGACCTGCCAGCTGGCAGGCGTCGAACACCAACCTGGCCTCCAAAGTGCCGTTAGGCAGGGATAACGATAAATAAATAGTTGCCAGAGCGATTTCCCCTTTGGTGGACAGTGGTCCCCAGCGGGCTCAGGGCAGGAACCTCTCCAGATCCGTCGGGCAGTGGCACAGAGCCAAGCCCAACTCTCACGGGCGAGCCGGCAGCTGGGTGAGAGACAGACCTGACGCGGGAACCTCAGACCTACAAAATATCACGACAGCCCCTTTTTTTATCCGGAGGTCTCAGCACACCTCTCATAATCCTCTACCAGACTGCAGGCGCTCATTTGTGTTTGCAAAAGGGGATGCATCCCGTTCAAACAACTTCTCCAGGTGCACAGAGGTGCCCGTCAGCAAAACGTCTCCTAGTGCACGGTCAGCACCTCGCCCTGAAGCGTCCCTTGGAGCTCGCTGGAGGTTTCCCACCTAGGCAGCGATCGCCCCGAGCCCTCCTGCAGACAGGGAGAACCGGAGGAGGGATGCAGAAGACGAGCAAGCCATCAAAGAGGGGGAAAGAAAACACCTTTGCATTTGATGCGCTGATAGGAAGAAGGGGAAGAGGAACAGAACGGGGAGAGTCAGCTTCGCTGCAGGTACCTAACGAGCCACACGGTTGAGATGACTAAAGCTACAGCATATAATTACCCCCCATCCCCTCATAATGAACACTCATCAGCGCTCAACAACCCCCACCACTCTCTAATATTCATCCCTCGTTGGCACGCAGGCACTTCCCCCCCCGTGCGGTACCTTGACGCGGTTGATGTTGACGCCGCTCATGCTTCTGCTGCGGTCTACGAGGAAGATAAACTCTCCTTGGGCTTTCTGGAGCTCTGGCTGGACGGTCCTCAAGTCGGGGCAGAAGTTGAGCATGATGACGGGGTGGTGGGGGATGTCCTTGTTCAGCCGCTTCCTGATGATTTCCGTCTGCAAGAAAGAAGGAGAAAGCTCAAGAGGTTGATTTTTCTGCCCCTTTTCACTTCGAGGGGAATCAGAGCAGCGAGCCCAAAGATGTAAGCGCGTGGCCTTTTGTGGGCAGGGATGGGCTTGTTCTGGCCTCAGTGGTGACAAGTCCTGAGCTCCGGCTCAGGTTCCGTCTGTGACCCCTGCGGAGCTGCTCCGTGGGTGCAGTGGATCCGTGGATCCCTGCCTCCTCCCAGCCACGGTCACGCTTTGCCCAGGAGCCAAAGGCTGGCAGAAAGCCTCAATCAGGGACCCCCTGCATGCATGGGTGAGAGCCTGGAGAAGAAATGAAAAGATCTGGCACCTTGCAAAACTGATTCTCCAAACATTCCATCAGATCCCTCCCGAAAACGTGGTTCATTCACGCAGTTTGGCGTCACGCTGAGGCACACCGGCGGTTTTGTCCACGGTCACTCAATAATGAAGTGCGAGAGACAGCCCTCAGCAAGCCGCATTCACCGCTTCGATTCATTCCTGCCACCTCTGCTATTTTTTCTGCCTATTTCTTTTATGGTTTTCCTTTGTATGGGTTGAAACACTTTGGAAAGCCGAACCGGTCGCTCAGGACATCGTTCGACAGGAACCCACATGACCTATGTCTCTCTGCTGCACATAGCTCCGATGGCGTTCTGCATTTTGCCTCATTTTCTTTCAAGCATCAATCTTCATTTGAAACGTGATCAAATTAAACTGGGAAAAACCCTCTTGCGATGGGTTTGTAATCTGCTGTTGTGTGTATATAAAGCAGCCCGGGTTCACGGTCACGGCTGCAGCGGGTCAGCGCATCGCTGCTTTCGAGGGAGCCCCGGGACCCCACCTCAGCAAACCCCGTGGCCTTTCGTTCCCGGCTCTGCCGTGTGGAAACATCCGCCGCAATAAGCAGCTCGGTCCCTGGGGGCTTTGCTTGCCTTTTTTCCTCTTTCAAAGGCTGCTGTCTCTTGCAGGTTTCAGCCGGAGTAAACCAGACCCCAAATAACCGGGCTTGTTTTCTCCAGCTTGTGAGTCATATTCCTAGATCTATGAACTAACGACTAACATTTATTTTACGTAACTCACTGAACTCAAGAGTCCCTGCGGATCAACGCATACACTCGGGCTTCTTTTCCGGCTGTGCTGCTTGAGCGCTGCTTCTCTGACCCCCGTGAAAAGACGGTTCCCGTTCAGAGGGACAAGTACCGCGCTGTCACCCCGGCTCTCGCTCATCCTCCTGCTCCTTGCACGCTTTGGAGTATAAATTAATCAGCCACTGGGAACCGGAAGGGCTTTTTTCCATCCCCATTTTCCTCCAGCGGTATGACATTCTTTTGTTTAACATCTTTCCCAGCACGGATGCTTATCACATTTCAGACTAGAGGGATCCTTGCTGCCTCTCTGCCTGAGGACCGAACCGTGGCCCCGCACCTACCCGCAGCACTCCCTGGGATGCTCGGACCCAAGACATAAAATCCCTGCGTGACCGGGATGAGCCCATAACCTGGATTTCCCACTGCTTTCAGAGTGAATTTTACAGGCAAGCCTTCAGCAAACAGCCTCAGAGCTGCTGCTACAGGTCAGCCAGAAAAGCAAGCATCTCGCCCGCGCCGCCTCTTCTCCCCACCTCCCCTCCGCTCTGTTCCCTCTCACCCGTTATCCAATTACAGTAAACTAATCAGATCTTGTCGACCGAGAGTTGATTCCAGTGTGCGTTCATCCCCGCCACCCTGCTAGCTGATGAGCATCTGAGCTTTTTGCATAACAAACTGAGGGATGAGAATTAATTATCATTTACTGCTGAAATTTCTGGGCTAATTCATTTAAGCCGAGAGGTGCCCAGCGTCGTGCTCTGAGCAGCAGCAATTCCAGCCCATAATCTACCCCAGATATTCAGGGCTTTTTCTCTGCTTCTTGCCCTTCTCAGTGCAGTTGCTTCCCAGTCCTCCTGGGGCAAAGAGGTGGGTTTCCTGCAGAGAAACGGCTCCGGAATGATCCCCACCCAGATAATTTGACGTGCTAAAGACACAGAAATAATTAGAGAGCCATCTGAGCCCTAGCGTGGGAGTTTCATTTCGTTCCACCTACCGCACGCTGAACACAATTAAAGGAGACGCCTGCCATGCGAGCAAGCGCAGTCCCGATCCCAGCAGCGCGCCGCAAGAGAAAGCAAAGGGCACAAGGAAAGAGAAGAGGGTTGACGCGTCTCCGGTGAAAGGAGAAATCGCAGCAGAACAGGGAGGCACCTTCGCAGCAGGTTCGGGATGTCTGCCAAGCGGGGGGCCCAGGCTTAGACGGGCGGAGAATGAGTTTTAGGGGAAATGAGCGTCCCCGGTCGCAAACGAGAACATCTGTGCATGTAAAACAGGGAGCTGACACAGCGAGCCCGGGGCTGCGGTTACACAAGCGCGACGCGCGACGCAGGTGAAGTCGCCCACCCTGGAAACGCGGAGGGCTCTGACCAGTCCGCTGCTCCCCGCCGATCCCAGCCACACTGATGTGGCAGCTCAGAAGTGCTAGGCTGTCACTCACTGCTTCAGAATTGCTGAAAGACGAGGCACAAACCCCAGAGCAGGTATTTTTCTATTTGCCGATCAGCAGAACAAAGAGAAGTTTCTCCTACCTTGTCTTCAGTTCAGCTCATTATTCCAAGTAACATCACTTATTTCTCTCTGACAGCTATCCAGAAACGGTAAACATTTACCGAGCAATTAAAAGAAGCTGTCACTCACTGCTTCAGAATTGCTGAAAGACGAGGCACAAACCCCAGAGCAGGTATTTTTCTATTTGCCGATCAGCAGAACAAAGAGAAGTTTCTCCTACCTTGTCTTCAGTTCAGCTCATTATTCCAAGTAACATCACTTATTTCTCTCTGACAGCTATCCAGAAACGGTAAACATTTACCGAGCAATTAAAAGAATATTTTATTCTATGTCATTGCAATAATTATAATACCCTTAATACTGTAACAATGTACCTATCTAATTATGCTATGCTAGACTAGTACTAATTATACACACAATAACCATCTCAGAGCTTCTTCCACGCTCAGTTTATGCGAAGCGCTGCAGAATCTTCCTCCACATAAGCCCCTCTCCGAGGGAGGATGCTGCAGAGCTTACGGGGCCAGTGTAACATCTGGTACTGCAAGCACGGAAGCAATCATTTACTTGCACAGCTCCTGCCTGAAGGAAAGCCTCAGCTAACACCTGCAGCTTTTGCTTCTCACCTTTTTCTCAGCGCTGGGGTCCTTCTTAGTGCCTTTAATGAAATCGTTCTTCCCCTTCAGGTGTCGTTCGTACTCTGCAGGCGTCATATCACCTTCTTCCATTAAGACGTGAGGCATGTGGGGCTCTGGAAACGCAGAGAATCGGGTGAAGAACAGCCTTAGCTAAACTTTAGGTTTGCAAGAGATGCAGGCACCCTCAGCTGCGAAGACAGAGCAATACCTCCGAGCGTGGGCAGCACGAGCAACCTTGAGAGGGTCCGGGATTATCTCCTAGCAAGCCTAACCCCCGGCAATACTCGCACAAGCAGAGCTAATCCAGCTGTCTCCAGCACCAGGGGGGAAGGTCCCAGGAAGGGGCAAGAGAGGAAGCAGAGCCCACCTACCACTGGGATGGATCAGGATCTCCACAGGTCTGTCGAAGGTGTGTTTATTGGCCAGCGTGATCACGATGCTCTTGGCGGAGCGAGCGGAGGGGTCGGCGTCTGCTCGGATCTCGTGCGTGGGGCTCTCAACGCCTGCCCGGGGAAACCGAGGTGCGGTTAGGGACTGAGGACGGGGGAGACCAAGGGAGGAGAGATAGCAAGATGGCAGAGGACAGGAGCCAAGCGGACTATGCGATGCTCCTGCCGTATCCACACCCCACGTTAACACCGGCGCTGTGCCAGTAAATCCATGCCAGCAGAGTCAACTTGCCACAGCAGACTCCGTGTTGAGGGGGGCAGAGAAGGGGGAAGAGTGTGGACATTGCCTTGAGGAGGTGATAAACCAGCCTGGTGCAGCAAGACAGCCCCGGCACCCCTACCTGCCAGCAAGCACGGCCCCCGGATCTCCAGGTGGAAGCTGAACTCGTACTCGAAGGGGTTGGTGGCCTCGCTCTCCAGCAGCTGAGCCAGGCACAACCTGCTCCCTTGCTCCAAGCTCCCCGATCCACAGTAGTGCTTGTCCCTGCCGGTGCGATGAACCCCAGTCACCACAGTGCACATGCTATATCCCCCCAGGAACTGCAGATCTGCTGGAGGTAAAGCCTGCAGCAGCTCTCCAGCCTCCCGCAGCAACAGCAGGCTTCTGCTCTGCCAGTCCTGCATCCCCCCCAGGTCAGTCCCAGACAGATCCCATCCCGTGGTTTTCCATACGTTCGGAGCTGGTGGCTGGAAAGGCTGCTGGCATTCTCCAGGCCGGGCTGGGGGACCCTGGGGACACACACAGCTGGCAGAAGGACCCTCACGGCCCCGCTGGGCAGCGTCTGCAGCTCAGAGGAGGTGCTGATGAAGATGGAGACGCTTTCCAGAGGAGGAATCATGCCCAGGTTAGCCACAAAAACAATCCTCTCCAAGTCCTCATCCATCATGATCCTTCCTGCACAGAGAGAGGACCACAGCAGGGAGACGCGGCGTCACAACTGTGGAAAACGCTCCTCCCCAGGCCTCCCACGACAACCTCAGCCCTGGATCAAATGCCCAAGCCAGCCCTCACTGCACACAACAGCGTTTCTCTAAAGAGCCCGAGCCCCGGCCCCCTGCACCACTCCTTCAGCTGTCCAGAAGCGACTTTGCTTTCCAAAGCGGATGAGACTGCCGCTTCTGCAGACACTGAAAGGACACGAGCACCGCAACCCAAGGCTCAGCCTTTCTCGAGGAGCCTCCCTCGATGCCACGGCATACGACAGCCAGCCACCCCCTGCCACCTCCCTATTCCTCTTCCCCTGGTTTTCTTCCCCACGTGCAGTAAAACGCTCCGGACCCCCTCACCGCTTCCGTCGCGAGCTCTTCCATCGGGCAGGCTGCAGCCGTCGAAATACGCGTCATCTATTTTGGCTTTGTCTTTGATCTGCACCGTCACGGCGCGCCGGGACACGGCCGCCTCAAACCCGACGACGGCGGTGCGCTCATCCAAGGGGTAGACAAAGAGACCTGCCAGCCAGAAGGTTTTTTTAGCAACACCAAGCACTTGCCCGGAACCACCAGCCAGGACCGCAGGGGCCAGCTCCCTCTTGGCACATCCATGCATGCTCCCGGGATTTTTCACGCTTCAAAAATTGTAGCCCTGGACTGTTGAGGGTACAATGGAGGACACGATACCCTTGGCCACCCTTCCTGCAAGGATCTAAAGGTTTAAGGCGTGCACAGAAACCCAGCGCTGCGATATCCCCAGCTCTAAAGCTCCCGTAGTAGCTCTTGCACTGGGAGCTTCACCCCCTGAAACTTGCCTTCAAAAGCCTGAGCTTCTGGGTTGCGGTAGGTGAGCAAGGCTGTCATCCCGAAGGCATAGCCGCTGACGCACGACGTCACCTCCGACGTGGAGAGGGGGAGCGGGGAGCGGGTCGTCCGGTTAATCAGCCCTGGCATCTTCCCGGGGGTCTGCTGGTGATGCTGGGATCACCTGCAGCGAGCTGGAGAGAGGCGGAAGGGCGAGAATGAATGAGGAGCCGCGAGTGCCCAAAACACTTGCGTGCCCTCATCACTTCATTTTGGCTTCTGCAGCCCTGAGGACAGGAAGGTGACTGACCCAGGGCAGGACGAGACCTGGGCTTGACGGCTCCACTGGTGGAGACAGAATCATGGAATCGTTTAGGTTGGAAAAGAGCTTTAAGATCATCCAGTCCAACCAGTAACCCACACTACCAAGTCCACCACTAAACCAATTCAGGGCAGAGTAGCAATTTCATGTTTCCTGGCTTGGTGGCTGGATGATTTTTAATGAAAGTAAAAACTAGGAATCACTAAGGTTGGGAAGGATCTCCAAGACCATCAGCCCAACCATCACCCCAACACCCCCATGCCCACTAAACCATGTCCCCCAGTGCCACCTCTGCCCCTTTTTTGAACACTTCCAGGGATGGGGACTCCCCCACCTCTCTGGGCAGCCTGCTCCAATGCTTGACCACTCTTTAAAATTTTTCCTAATATCCAACCTAAACCTCCCCTGGCGCAGCTTGAGCCCATTTCCTCTTGTCCTATCGCTAGCTACTTGGGAGAAGAGGCCAACACCCCCCTCGCTACAACCTCCTGCCAGGTAGATGGGGATGGAGAGAAGAGCCTGGTGGGAAGACGCAAGGCAAACGCTTGCCCCGAATCCCCGCCGGCGCAAGGGAGGAGGTCCAGCTAAACCTGCCCGGCTGGGGACAGGCAGCCCCAGAGGCCGACATCGCAGTGGTGCCTCACACATCCCACCAGCTCCCGCACCCCCCTACTGCTTGAGTCTGCACAGAAGGGGTTAACATCTTTTTGTCCGGCTCTCCTGCTTCTCATCATCCTCCCAACTGACAAGTTTCTCCAGGATCACACCATGACCTTGAGTTTCCCTTTAGCCCGCGGGAAGGAGGAGCAGGCAGGCAGAGCCTGGCGCCCTCCCTGCCCTCCCGCAGGCAGCGGGTCCCGGCTGCGTTTCGGGGTGGTGGCACGGCTCTGCTGCCCCGCATCTCCAGATCCCTTCTGCAAAGGCTGACTCATCCCTCCGCTTCGCTCAGTGGAGACATTCAGATGCAAAGTGGCTACTTCTGCCAATTGCATTTCAACTCTTTTTCCGCCCCCCCAAGCAGGTTTTCTTCCGTTCCAGCTCATCTCCCCCAAGACCGAGGGTTTCAAAGGAGACATTTCAGGTAGCTCTCGGGCCACATCCAGCTCCCCTGGGGCATCGGGAGAAGTTGCTAGGCAGCAGTTCTCCCTGGCTGGCTCTGCAATGCTTTATGCAATGATTTACAAGGCCCAGGAGGAGCCAGCAGCAGTGAAACACATCAGTTTCTCACTTCCTAGCAGTCCTACGTTATTAAAACCACCTTTGTATGCAAATGCCACGGAGGATGCGAACGGCAGACGTCAAGGCCCCGAGCTCGCCAAGCGTTCGGGCAGGAAAATGGCACTAAGGGAGGAAAAAGGGGGAGCAAGGGGGAGCAAAGGGGGCTGGCCAGGATGGGGGAGAGCGGCCAGGGCACCCGAGCAAACACAAGAACAGCAGAGGAGAAGATGGAGGGCAGCGATGAGGGCTGTATCTCAAGGCACACTCCTGATTCCCAGCCAACAACCTCAGCCGTTCGCGATTGAATCCTGCTCTCCTTCCACCACAAAGGCTGCTTGCGCCAGGGGCTGCCCACGGGGGCCGGGGGACGCAGCCCGGCACGGTCAGGAGATGCAGGAGGGTGTCCAGCTCAGCTGCTCCGGCACGGCAGTCCCGGGGGAAGGCCATCACGCACCGGGATGCTCCAAGCCCTGCTAACAGGGCTTGTAAAGTCAGAAGCCGGCAAGAGTTCAGCTGCTACAGGGCGAGATAACGAAGGTCGTCTCGCTGCTGAGACATGGCAGAGGCCATCAAGATATCGGGAAGTGATTAAGTGCCAGGCGGGGAAGAAGGAGCGGGGATTATTGCGCCTCGGGGAAGAAAGCAAGCAAGAAATAACAAGGGGAAGATGCTCTCTACCAGCTAGGTGCAAGGGGGATTCACTATGGGGTTGCCAGAGGGGTGAATTCAGCCTCCAGGAGCGTGACTTCAGCCTGGCAGCTCTCTTGGCTGCGGTGACTTACGGCAGAGCCGCGGTCGAGATCCGGGCCCCTCACCTCTCCTGCGCGGAGGCTTAGGACGTGCCTCCCACGGGAGCTGCTCTGCCAGCGGGGATTTCTGCGTCGCTCAGGCCAGCGCAAGCACTCAGGCACCCTTTGGTGGGACGCAGGGCTCCGTGCCGCGTCCTGTATAAAGCACGCCGGGCGAGTTGCACCTCTCCTGCAGCTCCCGCACGGCTCAGAGGAGCCCTGCGCCA